TTTTTGGGTAAGTACGGTCAACTCTTTCGGACTTTAGGACCGTTTGTTCAATCACCTTTGAATAGAGAGGTTCAGGATTTCATTAGGAATTTTATCTTTTGTGTTGGGTCGGACCCCTGATAGGTGTGTTGGTGAACTAGTTTCACATGGGTAATGTGCGTTGTGAAATGGTCCCGCACTGGGTCCTAAAAGTTACTCTTCTCGTCGTAGATTTTCGAGTTTGGTTTGCTGCTTTGCAAATTAAATCAAATCATTACACACCTTTCTCGTTTAATTAATTAAATTCTCCCACTTTTAATTTACCTCACTAAATCTTAAAGTCTTCACAAACTAAGATTAAATAAAAATAAAAAAGACTTGCCCAGTCCACAAAGTGATCCTTGTTAATTTTTAATGTTTGCACTAGAATTACAAGGTATTGGCTGAATACTAACCCCAGAACTTTCTTTTTGAAGCAGCTGCAACGGCGTTCCCGACGCTCACTTTCTCCTGCAACCTGTCGACTAGTCGTGATGCCCACAATATCTCTCCCACCATTATGTTTGGAGCAGGATTCAACGAACTCGAAGTCGTACTTGGAAAGGCCCCATTTGTGGTCATGGAAGTCATCGCTCCGGAAGTACAAGAGCCGTCTGTTGAATTTAACCTGAACTGCCCTCAGGATTTCCCTTCCTACAAGAAGTTGAAGACTATTACTACCCCGACAAGCGTTAAGTCAGTTGTTCCCTCGTATGCTAAAGGAAAAGAAATTATGATCATTGAAGATACAGTTGAGGGATTTATCGCCCCTCCGTTGGTATTTGAAATTAGATCTAGTTCAAAGTTCGTACCATTAACCTGTTCACAGAAAAGAAATCCAATCGAATCATTCAGAGGGCTACTAAATCTCGAGTTCTGGAAAAGGTATCTGCTGATGAGTTTCCTCACTAGGAGGAACTCAGATTACTTGAGACCACTCCGCTTCTGCGTGGGAGTGGTATGAAAGTATTCAGAAGATTGCTGCTTCATTACCGTTACTTCATGACCGTGATGAGGAGAGAGACAAACCCACTCCTATCACTAAAGTTCGTACAATATTTCAAAGATTGGTTGTCAAAGAAGGATGTTCCGTTGTTAAGCTACTTAAGCGAGTGGGATGTGTGGTATTCACTTGAATGAAAAGATAAATTTTGATGGATGTTAGATCTGCCCAACAATCTCAAAGATCAGCCAAAGTTTTGCTTGCTCTCATTCTAGTCAGATTCCGTCTAAGGAGACGAGTTGATGTTGTCGTAACTACCACCGATTTTGTTATAACTGCTGCTCCAAGGTCTACAGGTCGTTGACAAACCAAGTCACGTATGGGTCCGAGAATATTACCAGTTGCTGCTCATAAGAGTGTTCCAGGAAAGGAAAAAGTAAAGAAGTCACCCAGTGTTGTACTTGGTCCGCACCGCGGGGAGCATGCATTTCTTCGACGCACTGATGACTATGTTGGAACACCCCATCTCAAGACATCATCGACATTTAAAACATTACAAAACAAAACAAAATTTTCAAAAAACCATATCTCATTTTAGGGAGAAAGATAATGAAGACTACTCAAAATTCTTGAGAAGGATACGACAAAAGACATATTTCATATATAAAAATAAGTTCATAAAATAAAGGAAGAAAATAACACAACTTATCTCACACTCCTTCCCGAGCAAATCCCTAAAAGTTTCCTTTAAGAACTTTCTCTCTTTACTATCACACTCAATTCTCACTTAGAAGTGTAATGAAGAAGAAATCTCTCACCTTCCCTCCCTTCTTACAACCCTAGAAGAAAATCCTCGTCTCCAAGACTTCTCTCACCCCAAAACTTTTTTCTCTATCTCACGCCCCCCTTCTTCTTTAGACTCTTCTCCTTTTTAATTAGAGCCTACCTCTTTTCCAAAGGAATTCAAAATTCCCTCCAATTTTTCCCCCAATAGTTACATCTTTTAATACCAAGAGACAAGTCCCTTCATCTAAGATAAATATCTCTTCATTAAGGAGTCTTTGCAAAATGTCTAGATTCATTAAACCACTCCATGGGATGTTTGAATTGTTTGGAGCCTTGAAAAGCCGCTAAAAAATAGTCACAAATTGCCTTACTCCATCTTAATTGATCTCTCGCCCTTTTGGTGCCAGTTCTGGCGCTTCTGGCGCCAGCCTAATGAAGTTCACGTTGTTCTCTGGATTCTGGCGTCGCTTTTCTGTAAAATGGTAATTTTTTTTCAAAATTGTTGTGTCTTGACTGGAATTTTTTAGGATTGAAGTTTATGTTAAGAATACTTGAATTTAAGATGACAAAATTTAGAATTTTGTTTTTAAACTTGTTTCATTAATTTCAAATTATTTTAAGAGTTTTCCCATTCTTGGGGCAATTGTGAGTTTCCTAGTTATATAAGGTACAAGACATTCTGGGAACATTAACCTCACTCAAATAAAAATCAAGACAATCTAAGGACAATGTCATAAAGACTGGAGAATTTTTTATTTTCAGTTTGTTTTTTTTTTAATTTCAGTCTAAGTTTTTGTTAGAAAACTTTAATGCCTTTTGTTTAATGGATTTGATTTATTTTTTATTTAAAATTTCAGACACAATATCTATTTCAAAAGTTCAGATTTTGATTTTTTTAATTAGATTTTGATACGTAAGATTTTGATTATTTTTAATGTGATGTATGAGATTTTGTTTATTTTTAGTTGGATTTTAATGTTTGAGATTTTGATTATTTTTTGTTAGATTTTAATGTTTGAAATTTTGAAGTTTAATTAAGTTCAATTCCATTCATAGTTTGATCTTAAATTCAAAACTTTGATTATCCAAGTTTTTTTTAAAGATTTCTATTCTAGTGTTAAATTTATATAAAAGAATGTGTAGTTATTTTGTTTTTATTTTGACAAAATTAAAGCCAAGTATTATTATTTTTTAATTTTTGTGTTTTAATTCATTTATACTTTGTTTTTTTCATCATTCCAAGCCTTGAACTTATCAAATGTTAGAATAGAGAATATTTGTAGCATTCCTTAGAATAGAAACAACTAACACAAGCAGTGTTATCAAAATATTATTCAAACCTTAAAGGAATCAATTATATTTTAGATGACAGACACCTGTCACAAGATTTTTTAGGATAAAATATTTTTTTTCTTAGGAACACCACCTCATATTTAAAGGATTTTCAAATGAAGTTAAAATATTTGAAGATTGGGTTTCTAATATTTGATTATATCCAAATACGATCAACCTTGATCTTGTAGTGATACACTAAAAATATTGTTGAAAGCAAACTTTATAGGTCTCATTTCTGGATTTTAGCAGTAAAATCACAAGACAATTCTTAAATCATAAAAGGTAGTCTTCCTTTTTTTCTAGACTGGCTTATCAACATATCCTTCAATTTGATATGGGCAAGCATAGCGAGCATTTAGGTCGTGCCCCATTGATATTTGAAAATCAATATTCTTAAATCCTAACATTGCATTTATAAATCCCCATAAGAGTTTAACATGCAATATACTTCTCATTCTCTAGCATCCAATGACACATCCTTGAATGCAATATACTTCATTTTTTGACATTGCAATAAACATGCTAATGAGGCTAGAAAGCCCGTTACAGCCCCTATAGATATCCAACCTAATTTGATATTTGTGGAAAATCCAGAAAGAATTATAGATTAAAATATGAAACACTACATAAGTTGAGAGATTCCTCATGTTGTTTGTTGTGGAAGCTTGGTACCGAAAGAGATGCCCTCGAAAGAAGAAAATAGAAATAAAAGAAAGATATCCATAACTTTTAAATTGAGATATGAATTATATTATTCCACTATATGTTTTGAGGATAAATCTTAATAATATTTTAGTTATTAATTTAAATTAGATAAGGTATAAAACAATAAAGTTAACCATTTATGACACCTACTTTGCAAATGTTGTTTTATCGTTACACCCATTGCACACAGCAAGCTAATATGAGCGTCGAGCGGAGGGAAGTAAGCTACATGTGAGAAAGAGAATGGGAGATCGTGATCATTACACGCAGTCAAGATTGCAAGAGAAGCATATACAACTCGAGCAACATCTCTTGTAGGTGAACCAAAATAGTATTATAAGCAAATTTCAATAACTACTTTGCTTATTTTGTTGACTTGGATGGAAATTAGGTTAGATTTTTGTAAGGCCTAGGTTAAAACAAATAATTATAAAAAGAAAGATTTTAAGCATTTATTTTACAAATTAATTTGAAATGATTTTTGATGAATATTGTTGTGATTTGCTATAATTATAATAGTATTATAATAATAAATAAAACCACTTAGTTGGATTTTTAATAGGGGTCAATTTAACGATAACTATTATTGATTGAAGGGATAAAAATTCTTAGGTATAAATGCTTGAGTTGCTAATGATTTAAAATTATGAATAGGATAAGATACATTTAAATACAGAGTAATAAATAAAACTTAGTGAGAATAATATGAAAGTATGACAAAAGGGATAGAAATGTTCATTAAGCAAACCGAACACGAATAATTTTCTAAACTCGACTGGTAAGCAAACCAAACACGAATAACCCTTTACTCGATCGTGTTTGGCTCATTTTAGCTCAAAATAAGAAAATTTTATATATTATATGTATTTATATTTAAGCTTAAAGCACCATAACTTGTGTGGTCTAAGTGGGCATGTTTTTCTTAAAGTAAGAGTGCTGCAATCCAGCACCTACATCTATTTCTCTAGCCAATTTAGAGCTAAACGCGACCAAGAACATGTAAATCAAGCCAAAAACGACACTAATTTCTTATGTAATCACATATCCAAGACTTAAATCTTTACATTTATTTGCATAACGCCATTTTCTCTAAAATGACAGCAAAAATACCACAAACACTAGCTTGTCTAAAAAATGCATTTTCATACATATATTTTGATGTCATTCAGAGACCAGAATATCATATAAAGTTTCAATGTTAGATATGCAAACATAAGAGGAAGAGGTCAAAGTTAGATAAATTTATTATTTACAAAACCTAGTGGTAGTGCACAAATTAACAAGAAAAACAATATAAATGTGAAATTATGAATAAAGAGAGGGTGTTAGATATCACCATTTTCGGGATAGAAATCTTGCTCGGAGTCTATGGGAAAGGAAGGAGGAGTTCCAGGTGGAATAGAAGCAGCTCCCTTCTCTCCAGCCGATCTGCATAAGCTTTCTGCTGCCCTTAGAATATCATCAAGATCTATTTTTCCACTCAGATCATTAACAAACTTGAGAATTGTATCAAAATCCATGCTCTCTGTCATGATTTTCATGCGGTATTTCTTCAGGATAGCCACGCAGATGTATAAGTGGAAATGCTCTGAGATGTGGTGGGTCCATAATACCTCCCACAAGCTCAACACTTTTTGGTACTCAAATTCCCTTAAGAAAAATAAAATAAATATAAACACACATGATATAGATTGAGTGATGAGGCTTGAAATTAACAGTTTCATGATGGATGAAAAACAAAACCATTTCATGAATAGGAACTTTTGAGTTGTGTCATAAGAAAAATAAAATAAATATAAACACACAAGATATAGATTGAGTGATGAGGCTTGAAATTAACGGTTTCATGATGGATGAAAAACAAGACCATTTCATGAATAGGAACTTTTGAGTTGTGTCATTGAAATAAAATTGTTTTTTATTATCTTAAATTCTATCATGGATTGCACTAGTTGCAAGTGGCCAAAATATTGATGATGCGTTGAAAATGCTACATTGGATTTTGTCTTGTTTAAAAAGGCGTTTGAGGCTTACATGCCTTGAGACGCGCCTCGAAATAAGACATTAAAAAGCCTTAGTGTTTTATGCCTCGAGGCATTTGAGGCAGCTCCTCCAAGTTATGAAAAAAAGAAATCATATATTATTAATATATATTATATTATATTTAATATATCTGATATAATGTCTTTAAGAAGTCAAAAGATAATTTAAGTACGATTATTTGATTATATTATTAATCACTTCTTTATTTTCAATTATATTGAATTTCATATTAATTAATAATAAGAAGAAAATTATAATAAAAGAAGAACTTTTTAAAGTTGTAAATAAGGCAAAATTACATGATAATTAATATCATAATTTATTTGAAAATGTTCAAAACACTAATATGGCCACTATGAATTTTGAACCTCATAGAATATTTAAATTCTAAGTGAATGTTTACCTAGAATCACATTTTAAACTTTTATTTTATATCAATATTTAAATTAAGAACTATGATTTATGCCTATATAATAATAAACTAAATCAACATAACAATGGTTTGTCATTTTATCAATTTTTTTCTTCTTTGAGGCTTACGTCTTGATCTACCTTAAGGCTTACACGTCACCTCACTAAAGCAAAATGGATGAGTTCTTAATTTCTCCTTTTTACTCTTTTTAGTTTAATCACACGTCACCTCGCTAAGACAAAATGCATCGGTTCCCAATTTTGCCATTTTACTCTTTACATATTCATTACGTGCATCTCGCTAAAGGCAAAATGCATCGGTTCCCGACTTCAACTTTTTACACTTTTTCATAAATCTAAGATTTTCTTTTACAGAGATTTAGATCCTACATTATAAAATAAAGAAGAGTTAAAAGGCAAACTAAGTCTCTCAATAAGACTAATGGGTCAAGCATAAGCTAGCCCATCATGGGTGAGCGCCAAATCACTCTTAGTCCATCATGAAACTTTTTTTATAATTTTATTTTTCTTTTAACTCACGCACACACATTTATGTGCTAGGCCTTGAACTATATGCATTATGATTGGAGAAAAATCACCAAACCAATAAACCAAGTGAGCTACATCTCCAACTGCGAAACCTTATAAAGTGAGATGCCAGATAATTCAGGGGTAGTGAAGTAGGGAAATTGAGAAATAGGGAGAGAGAGCTATATGCATGTTTTGCAATTGAAACCTGTCAGTAATAAGCCTCCCTTTGTAAACAGAGATAGAAGTACTACCATAGAGAATGCTAGAAAGTAAGGCGAATTGACTGAAAAGAAGCAAACATATAAAGAAATTAAACACTAATAATTGAACTAATAAAAAGCTTACCGTTTAAATTGTATGAGAATCCAACGAAAGCAGTAGTAGTAGTTTATGCAATCCGCCTGAGCTAAGTAATCATGCAATGGGCGATCCAGAAGCTCCACCAACTAATAATAGGGAGAAATTTGAATGAATAATAAAATAAAAAAGGTGATACTTCATCACTTTGATCATTTTCTTATTCTGAAACAAATAAATACAACTGCTCGTCATCAACACCGAGTATGCTAAAAAATAAATTTGTAAGGAATCATGTTACACCTTTCATTCAAAGAGAAACATTTCAGTAAACTTCATATGATAAATTCAACGTTATAGGGAAAAAGCTAAAAATATATTAATGAAATACGTTTTAATTATGTAAACTAATGGGATGGTTGGTAATCTTTAAAAAAGCAATATTGGTGAAAAATAAAATTTGGAGAAAATATTACAAGGGCATTATCTTTATGTCCTTATACATATATGAATATTCTCCTAATTATTTTTCTTGTTGTACTAATCTTGTTTGTCTATTTGTAGGCATTCATTCGTGGTCAATAGGATACATAGTAAAATATTTCCTATCAACATGGTATCAGAGCACAACTAAGTTCTAATTATCGTTTTCTCTTCACTTCCAACACCTCCCTTACCTGACATTTTCCTTCACATTGACATCATGCCCGATTGTGCTGATACCAAGACCATAAAAACAAAGTGATTATGGTTTCTGTTAGCAAAATTCCTATCAAAGTGAAATATTAGTTAACGGTTAACTTCATTGTACCTAATATTAGTTAATGGTTAACTCTCTCTCTCTCTCTCTCCCCCTCTCTCTCCCCCCCTCTCTCTCTCGCTCTCTCACATTCTTCTTATCATAAAGAGCTCAAGTCCTCAATCTTGAGCTCCAAATCAATGACATTTGGCGGTTGTCCCTAGAGGCAGCAAGGGCTGTCATGGTCGATCATGCTCATTCTTCTCATCATAAAAGCTATCCAGTCCTTAATCTTAAGCTCCAAATCAATGATATTCGGCAAGGACAGTCATGGTTAAGGCGAGAAGAGCAAAAAAGATCAGTCACAAAAAAAAACTTTTCTCCCTCCACTAATTGCAAACGTAATAGAAACTATTGGGACAAATTCAATTATCCCTCCATTGGTAAACAAGATCCCATATTCAGTATAATTTTTCCTACCACTCCTAGCGTCTTCTCATTTGGATTGGTTTTTATTTCTCATAAAGCCTAAGACTAACTATTTCAACAATCACAAATATGTTTTGACTCTCATGTTGTCTCTACCATTGGATCCGTTCACTTTATTTTTATTTATGACTTTGGATGATAGACTCAGGGGACTATCGGATAGGTAATTGCTACTTATCTTTATCTATTCACATGTCCCCTCTACCATTCTCATCGTTATTGTTAGCAGTTTTTCCTCCCCAATTTTTAGAAATGGCATCCTCTAAACATCACTTTTATAGAATCTATGTCCCATATTATTCTGCCAATTAACTATCCATTTACAAAAATTCATTATTGTTCAACATCCTCTCATTGTATCTTTCAAGCTCTCACATCAAAAAAAAAATCGATGGAGGTGTTGAAACTGATAATATGAAATAGCTAATAGTTAATTCTTCTTCCAATCTCTGTTCCACAACTTCTACACATCATTGGCAGTCTTTGCTCATAACCAAAGAGAATGTGGACGGAAGCCATGTGTCAATTGCCTGGCATTTTGTACAATGTCTCTTCTACTCGTCGTGTTAGTGGAACTGTAATGGAAATGGAGTTTGTAAGCCATTTTTTACAAGAAATCAAGCTTGGCTAGGTTCATAACTGATAGAATGGGCCCATTAGGTGCACTATTCACCCTTTGAGAAGTAGCTATATGAGAAAATACATTATAGTATGGAAATAAAAAGCGCACGCATGGACCTCAACTCTCACCTTATTTGAATCTCGACAAATTTGATTTAACCAAACACAGGAATAGCTCGATGAAAAACTCTTAAACATCCAATGCTGCGAACATCTATGTGGTATGTGAGCAACAACCTCTGTTATAATAAAGCCATGGGAGATGAAAAGAATAATCCAAACAAAAAAGCTAGCTGGCAGGGTTGCAATGACTGCCAGACATTAGAACATCTTCATTCTAACTGCAAAATTTCGGCTACTTTGATTCCAACCATTTAATAAGGGGAGAAAATAAAACTATTTGAACATGTAGGATGACATTTTAAAGGCCATAAATAGGCTCCCCCCGTAGGGACTGGGGAGCATGGGATCAAAATCTTGTTCCTATAAATATTACTTACAACCTAAAGAACTAGAAAGCCATTTGAGTCGTTAATTAGCCTCATTGCTTCTAGTAAACTTCCAATGTATAATAAAAATTTTTGGGCATCCCTCTCCATACCTTCACTCTTACCATTTTTTTATCTCTCTTCGCTGTAACCATGATTCTGAGTTTGTCATTATCACAATACAAAATAACATTTTTTTCAAAGCTATATATGACCAGCCCCCATATAATTGATACCCTTGGCCGGTTAGCCTCTACGTCTTACACAAAATTTCTCTAATATTTTCTGAAATAAGTAAATCAACTCTCCTTTCTGTTCACAATGAAATAGCATGCATAGCAATCATTAATCTAGCACCTATGTGGGTGCCAACTAATTCGGTTGATAAAGATCTTCAAAATTGTTGCCAAGATATCAGGTTTGATCATCTCCTACAAAATAACAAACTCCCGCTCTGAAGACTTTCCGGTGGCAAAAAAATAAAAAAATACCTAATTACCTTTACGCTTCTTGCAAACCTAGTCTACGTTACGCAAAATTTAATAATAACAAAATAAATAAATGATAAAATTAAAAATTAAAAAATATCTTGAGATGTGTCAGCACAGAAGGGTGATCAAACAAGAGAAAGACTTCCTTCAAGCGAAATTAAGAAATTCTTGATGGTAATGTTGAGATATTAATTTTATACATGTTAGAAAGCGGCAACATGTATGGAAGTTATAAATATGAAATGTGAAAAGATAGGACAAAGTGTTATTCATTGAAATAACAAAAGCAAAGCCACACAACATTAAGTGCAGTAAAAAGAAAAGCACGGCACAAGCTGATTGCTTTTGGATAGGTGCATTTACATACATGCCACTTTATATTTACATATATAAAATGTGAACTTTACTTTTACATTTATACCACCGACATCTTTCATATCACATCAAAAATACCACTTCTTTAGTCTTTAAAAAGTCAAAAAACCTTGTCATGCATAGAGAATGTGGTATGTGTGTAAAGCTGAAGTTTATGTGGTAAGTGGTACTTATGTAAATCTTCCATCATATTAATGTTCGAGAATAGCAAAGAATACCTTAGACAGGGCAAAAAGTTGGGAGTGCATGCCACTTTGGTCACGGTTAAAGTTTGGCCCAAAGCGTTCCATCAGCATGACAAAGCACCAGAAGGATTCAGACTCGTCCTCTATCACAAACAATAATGGTGATAAAAGATCACTCATTCCCTGGTAGTCAGAAAATAGGTGAAATAATTTGAGAACAAAAAAGAAATTACATGAAAGAAAAAGAATTTGTGATTATTTAAGAAGAGTTTCATTATATTTCAAAAGTTGAATTTCAACTTTTAGGGGGTGTTCGGTAGCTCCTATTAACAGGATTTATCACCGGATGTACAAAATCAGTCAAACAAAAATGTGCAATTTCTGTAGATTTATGAAATTTCGAATTTGAAGTACTGAATTTTGCTTTTGATTCAACTTAAATTTGTATTTACTAAATCCAGTTGGTGGCCCGGTGATGGATTTAATGGATTTATAATTCATGGATTTACTAAATCTACTAATGCCAAATCCTGCTTGCAGCCAAACACCCTCTTAATGTCTATGCTTCTGTTGAAAAATGAAGGAAAATATGAATATATCAGAGGGGGCATTGTTGACCTCAATTTTCATGAGGTCTAGTATTCTTCGTAGGAGTTAGGATCTAGCGATATCTAACACCTACACTTTGCTTATTACATTTCAACCACTCAAATTTTTCATATCACATCAAAAATACAATCATTTTGACATGTAAAAAGTTAAACACACCTTTTCATGTAGGTAAGATGGTATGTATGTAAAAATTGAAGTTTAGGTGTTAGATATGTAAATACATAGGAATTGAGTAGTATGTACGTAAATCTTCCTATATCAAAACACCTGGCCAGTATCTTCTACATATATATAGTGCAAGTTCGGATAAACAATCAAATGAGAGCATAAATTTTCCTATGAAACAAAGCCTGTGCTCAAATAGTTAATACACTTCATGGAAAATTTGGTATCCTCAAAATACGAATCCAATTCGCTCTTAGGACAACTAAAGGTAACGGTAGCCTGCAACCGGCAAGTAGGAAACAAGTACGTTTTTTATTCCTTGGATTAATGAAGGCAAAACTATACGGTTTTGACAAAAATTAACTTTTCAGTACAAAAATAATCAAATCAGAATATAAACAGGCACGTTTATACTAGATACAAATTAGAGCAAAAAATGATTTAGTCTAAGATAGTCAATGAGCAATAAAGAACTAAGAATGTATTTAGACAACTCATCCTTGGAAGCAAAAGAGAAAGATGTCATATTTTCAAATTAAAAAAAAAATAAAGATCGCATTTAGAACAACAAAAACTAAATTCTGTGTATAGATGTGGTGATAGAGTATTAAATTATATCGTGTTTGCACGTCCCTAATGTGGACTAGAATTTGGGTTAGTTTTGTACAACTCGAAATTGAAATTTCTAATTCTAGCTCGACTTAAAATTTAAAAAAAAATTATGAGCCATCTATTCGTTCAAAATCATTGATTACAAGCCAACTTAAAATAGATTTTAAATTAAATAAATTTAATTTCAATTAATTATACAACCAAATATAAATAATATACTATATGTACACATAGCATGTTATATAAATCATAAATTTTATACAATATCTCATTTTGAACAAAATTTAGAGCAAATTAGAACCATTTTTGAATCAGTCAAAGCAAACTCAAAATCAATTTTATGTTTGACAGGATCTTGAAATCGGCTCAAGTTGATTTTGAGTAACTTCTGAATTTTTTTCAACAATCTTATATTTATTTAAATATGAGGAGCCTAAACATTGAGAAAGGTGGACATTTAGCTGAAGAAAATAAGTAACAAATTTAAAAGTGATGGCAAATGTGAGAGACCAAAAAGAAGTTAGAAAAAAAAGGCAGAGATTGAATGCAAGAAATAATCATGAAAATGTAGATTATGAAAATCTGTGATGCAATCAATACAACTCATATCGAACCTTATGCAGGTAATCAGAACATAGCTTCATGAGGCGCTCCACTTGTAAATATAAGGAAAATGAATTTTGGAATTTATTTAACATTTTAAATGCCAAAATGATCATAATGACATTGGAAGCTGCATATCAGACGGGGTGTTTCATTTTTGGAAGATTTACAAACATGCCACTCAATTCCTATGTATTTACATATATAACACCTAAACTTCAATTTTTACATACATGTCACCTTACTTATGCATGAAAAGGTGTATTTCAGTTTTCAAAAGTTAAATGGTGGTATTGTTATCTAATATGGAAGATTTGGGTGGTATAAATGTAAAAAAGTAAATTTGAGGTTTAGACATGTAAATACATAGGAATTGGATGGTATCTATGCAAATGCCCGTTATCAATGTGAGGAAGGATTCAAGAAAAGAGAACAAAAAAAGGCCACAGATGTTCCAGAAAGAATGGACGAAAAACAAATGACAAAAAGAAGTTTCAAGGTTTAATAAATAAATATGAAGTTAATAACTTGTATATCCTTTGAAATACATCATTATTTTCATCTCAAATTAGATAATGAGGCAGATTTCCAACTTACCTGACAATAACCCAAGTCAAAATTATAAAATGAATATGTCAACAATATATCATGTAGAAGCTTCACATGTGGATTATCATCTCCATCGTAATATGAGACAGATCTGTCAGTTCTGACCTAGAAAGAAGAAAGTAAAATCAGTAGAATATAACATTTGAACCAGTTAAGAAAAATAGTTTAAGAGACTATATATTCAGAAGAATGAAATAAAATTATATAGTATCTCATTACCGCGTCCTTCTCAATAAGTCCTCTTCTTTCTCTGAACTTGCTAAATCTCTTGGCTTGAGCAGTTGAGATACTCTGCGTGATGCATGCATATAATAGATGTGACAGCCAAACTAGAAGTGATTTGATAAGGAAGGTTAAATCAATCAAATGTTTCCATTATGAAGATCAGTATTGATGTAATAAATTTTACAGCAAAAAGCAACTTATCAAATGATTCGAGGGTGGACATCAGAGTAGCAGATAATAAAAACAGATAAGATGTACAAACTTAGATATCCAAATAATGGCCCGTCATTAACTTATTGGAGAATCGCAAGTAATATTAACATCATTTATTTGCATGCCAATGAATGCAGAAGAAAAAAAAGCAACCTTTATAGAAAAAAATATAGTATAATTTTTAAATTCATGCGTAGTTTTCTTTAAGAAAATATTCGTGTATTGCTTTCAGAAAATGAGTAGATAAAATATGATCCCTCGCCCCTGCTCTAGTAAGAAAAGGTAATGGGTTCTAGTTTTGGATGCTGAAGCACTTACTAGAAAAAAATCACTCTTTTTTTCTCAAATTGCTCCGTCAACATTGCTTGGCATAATAAACACAATTTATCATTATAGAGGCAAGGCATAAGTTAAAAGCTCTAGGTTGTTTCTCAACAACCAAATTTTCAGCCAAATAAGAATTAATGCCTACGAAATATGGATGTGCTATACTGCTATAATATTACTTGCAGAGAAAATTAAATGAATGAAAATGGAAAAAAAATAGACATTGTTCCCTCTCTGCATGAAAATGATCACGCATACCAAAATGACAAGAAATGACGGCATAAAACCAGACCTGCCACTGGGATTTTAAGCCCTCATACTCTGACTTCTTAACTGAACTAAGATATTCCCTCTCTGAATATGTAGAATCATACAAATGGTATCCCAGCAAAAATTTCCAGATCTGCACAAAATTTAAGTCTTGTAGCCATCAAAAAATAGTAACAAAAAAAGGGGTACTTACATACATAGCGCAAAATTCCTGTATATTTACATATCTCACACCTAAACTTTCAAATATATACACATAGCACTCAAATCTTTAAGATCACATCAAAAAGAACATTATTATCTCTTTTAAAAATGATAATACACCTTTTCATGCATAAATTTAAAGAACCAAAGTGCTATGTATGAGATATATAAATACATAACAACTGTGTGCTGCATATGTAAATTTTCCAAAAAAAAAAAAAAGGATAACTTCAAATCATATGATACATGCCTCTTTTCGCAGATTACATTTGATGCCTCCATAGAATATTCTCTTCCTTAGCGCTTTAGAATCATTAATTCGACCTTCGGAGTTAAAAAAGGTGGCCCACTAAGTAAAATTCAGTCGTTAGTCACACAATATTATACCATGTTATCACTCAATCAAAAACTTTATAAATAGAAGCATAAAATATATGCATGAAGCTTAGGTCATGACGGAGTATTGTATGTAAACTTACCCCTACATTGAAGAGAAATTGTTTCCATATTTCAAGCTATGGCCTTCATATCATAATGGAGGCTAATTGCTAATCTAGGCCTGCCATTTCATGACTAACTCTAGAAAAAATACTACCAAAAAATCAGTCAAAGTACTGTAGGGGCATTAAATGCATACCACCCAATTCTTAGGGTCCGTTAGGAGCCGTGTTTTTCGTGCAGCGCGGCCTCAAATCGTGAATTTGAGGTCAAATTTGGTGTTTGAATTTCAAGTTCGCGGCCACCCGTTGCTAAAAAAGGCCGAATAGGGGCCGCAGGTTGATCCCGCGGCCCCACGTTTTGGAGCGGATTTTACCTTCTTTGCCCCATGCTCCCCTGGCGTCCGCTGTGACTTCACGCCACGCAACCTGCAGGTTTTCCTCTCCAACAAGCTCCTAGTCTGTCTCCATTTCCCACTTCCCTCTCCCATTCTACTCCAAGGCGAGCAATTTCGAAACGCCGCGAGCGATTTCGAAACGCCGCGCTGTAACTCTTCTTTCGTCTCCTCTTTGTCGGAGATTCTTGTTGATTTTGTTGTGCAATTGGTTGTAACGGTGTTGCTTGTTTGGAGGAGGAGGAGGTGGAATGATGTGCGGTGAGGGGGAGATGAGTGGGTTGGGAAAATGCGGATAATCTGTGATGTCTGCAAGAGTGCGCCAGCTATTCTCCTATGCAGCTAAAGAGGCTGCCCTTTGTCGTCCCTGCGATGATAAGGTTTCCTTTTTGTGCTCTACTCTCTCCATTTTCCATCTGGAATTTAAATTTATCATGAATTTTGGTTCTCCGATGATTTTTTTTTTTTTTGGGTTACTATGTGAGATTGGGGCTAGGCGGTTAGCTGGATTTGCTTATTGTTTGATTACTTTTGTTGGGGAATATAATGTTTTCATTTTCCTCACTGTTCCTTATATAATACGGGGGATTGTAACATTTAAAGGCCATAAATGTGAGCTCGTTTACAGCCTGAGTGCACTTATAGTTTATTTATCGTTAAGTTTACATGGATTTGTTTCTAAAGACTTTCCTCGCTCCAATAGATTTAAGGGTCATTTCTAGCATGGAATTACTTATTTTTTTCCAAAAAAAGGAATTATTTAAAAGAACAATAGTGGTCTACGTAGTGATTTGGAGAAGTTTTAAGCTTTGGAAGCAAATCATCAAATGAGGGCATGCTGACACAAAGGAGGTCGCTAATGTCCTCCCACCAATTGTTAATGTTAGAAGCTGCTTTAATGACTCTGTATTGTTAGTGATGGTGTTGTGTGTACCATTGTAATGTCCTCCCCCTCGGCACAGGCCTAGGCCAGGACAAGGAATAGAATGGCTTGAATGAATTAATTCAATTTGATCTGGTCTATGAAGAACAGCCAAAGATGTTTGAACTTATCCTGATTAAAGCTTTGCAGTTCAACCATTAGCAAAATCATTTTGACATTTCAGTGAATTGTGTATCTGAATTTTTGTACTATTCTGAACTGAATTTAAGCTTTTGAAGTAATTAATATATGAGTGTCACAGCTCTGTTACAAATAAATTTACTAAACAGAAGCAGAATGGTTATTTTTTTAAAAACAGCTCTCCCGTAACTGTTTTCTCACAGCTGCAACAAACAGACAGCCAGTTTACTCGCAACAGCTTCCCCATAGCAGCTTCTTGGGCCAGCAAAGTTGCAGCAGAAAAACAGAAAAGCTGCAACTACCCCAAATAGGCCCTTATGCTAACACCTAAACATTCATATTTACAAGCACACTACTCAAATCTTTAACATCACATCAAAAATACTACCATCACTATATTTCCAAAAGTAAAAGTAAAATAAACCTTTTCATGCATAGATTTATCATACCGAGGTGTTATAAGTGTAAATATCAAAATTTGGGTGTTATATATATAAATACATAAGAATTGCGTGTTACGAATGTAAATTTTTCATTACTTTCGAGGCCAAATATCAAATGTAGTAGTCAACCGAAAAAGGAAGATCATTGGAAATAATCTGTTTAAAGGCTTAGGATTTTCCAGCAGCCAAATAGAAAACCCTCTAATGAAAAAGGAAAGAAAAAGGGAAGGAAAAGAACAGAAAGTTCCAACTAAAGGCAGAATGCCCCCCTCACCAGTTGTTGAGCATTTGTTAGATTTTCAGTCACCTGAACACTAAAGGCAAGCAACCATGGGTGCTGAGGTAATAAGAATTAGGGGCATTTACATACACACCACCCAAATCATATGCAGCTACATATCTAACACCAAAATTTTTTTATACCACCCAAATCTTTCATGCAACATCAAAAATACCATCATTTTAACTTTTAAAAGGTGAAATTTTGCAATACACCTTTTCATTTATAGATAAGGTGGCATATATGTAAAAATTAAAGTTAAGAAGTTAGATATGTAAATACATTAGAATTGAGTAGTACGCATGTAAATCTTCGTAAGAATTAACTCCTTGAATTTTTAAATCAGATTAAAATACATAACAAGTGGAAATATGTGAAAGGCCACCGCGAAATCATGATGTGATTGGTTCAACCATTATAGCAACCTAAGAATATGAAAATCGATAACATAAAAAGAAGAACCAAAACTACATAGACCAAATGGCAAGGACTGGTAGAAGTCATTGTAATTATTTACTATTTCTTTCAATGGTTGGAAATAAAAATAAAGAAACAAACAGGAAATATTACTTGCTGTAGCAAAAGAGGGAGAGCCAAGATGAAGGTGTGATCAAATAATGGATAAAACATAAATCCAAAAAATGTTGAACTATTTATTCGTAATTGAGAATAACGCCAAGAAAAAAAAAATACATATGAGAAATGAAAAAGCAAGCAGGGTAAGGTGAGTCCGAACAATTACAGGCTGTTTGGCTGGAAGTAGAATAATTTATTTAGTAACTCGAGATGGTTAAATCCTAAAAATTGTTTGGGAAGAGATATTGTTTGGGAAGAGGATGGATCAAAAATTAGATGGGTGCGGCAACTGGCATGGAGGAGCGCAACGAAAGAATGAGAGAATTAAGTAGGGGATATGGCTATGAACGAAATAAGTTTTTCACACCCTAGACATGGGGGAAATGCGGGAGGGAGAAGAAGTTGCGGTGGTGATAACAGGGCAACGAAACTGAAGATGTCGATCTTCGAAGGGAAAGATGCACATGGGTAGGTGTATCGGGTGGAGCGATAATTTGCAGTAAATGGTTTAACCAAATAATAGAAGCTCATGACAACAGTACTATGTTTTAAGGGAAAGACCCTAGCATGGTTTTAGTGGATAGAGGTGGGGTACCCAATGCATTCGTTGGAGGAGCTAAAGAATTGAATATTGCAACATTTCTGAGCCATCCGGAAAGAAAAACTACACGACTAATTATATGCATTCACAGAATGCGGGGACAGATATGACCTCTTGTCGGAGCGGGTGAGGTGCTAGAGGGGAACTTCCTGAAGGGCCTAAAGCCTAACATCCAAGCAGTCCTTCGACCTTTGAGACCGTGGGGATTAAGGGAGATAATGAAGCTTGCCCAAATGATGAAAGACAAGAAGCAGGTAAAGAAGCCCAATAAAGGTGGCACTACAGGGGGATTCTTCAAGAGTGCCTTGACGGCCATGATACCGAGGAACCCATTCTGAGGTTAATTTCAAGTGTCTCACTGATAAAAAAAAGTGCGGAATAAAAGAGCAAAAAGATTATGTTTCTAATGAGGCGAGAAGTATGCCTCGGGCCACCATTGTAAGGAGTGCATGCTTCAAGTCCTTGTACTTCAAGAGCAGAAGATAGATAGTGAGGAGTCGAAGGAAGACACAGTAGAGGAAAAGGAACATTTGCACTTCGATGTAGCAGAGGTGTCCCGTAATTCAACAATGAGATTTACTCTGAATCAGACTATGAAGGTGAAGGGACAGATCGGGGAGAAACCAATTGTGATGTTGGTGGATAATGGAGTCAGACATAATTTCATTTCAAATCAGGTCATGGATCAGCTAGTGTTGGAGCTAGTAGATATGGGGAACTCTAGGGTTATGATGGGCCAGGAAAGATGAATAAAAGTAAGGCAATTTGCAAGGGGATGGCTTTAACACTACATGACCTATAGGCGGTGGACTTCCTATTCTTGAACTTGGGCAGCACTAATGTAATTTTGGGGATGAGGTAGTTGTAGACACTTGGGGAGACAAAGGCGGATTGGAAAACCCTGACGATAAAGTTCAAGGTGGAGACTAAGAAGGCGGTACTGAGGAGAGATTCTAGCCTAGGAAAAAACATGGTCAAGACGAAGGAGCAGGTAGGCTATTTAGTGGAGTTGTGGAGCATAAAGGAAATCCAAGATCCCAAGGCAAAATAGTTCCCCAAGGGTGTTCAACAGCTCCTATAATAATTTCCAAACATCTTTCAACAATAGAGCAAATTACTGCCACCAAGGGAACACAAGCATGCCATTAACCAGGTCAGAAGTAATAACTAATCAATCCAAGATTGAGACTAAGTGTGGATTGGCTTTTACGCAGAAGCTTAGAGGAATTAAGGAGATTTATGGATTTCAACAGAAACTACCGGAAATTCATGAGGGGTACGAAACGATAACATGACCACTAACGGAGCAGAAAAAAAAAGACAATTTCAAGTGGGGTTGGGAGCGGCAACAAAAGCCTATGAACATCGGAAGAATTGTGACCCTCGATCTTTCCAAACTTCAATAGACCATTTGTGGTAGCAACAGAAGTGTCAGGATATGGACTAAGAGCAGTACTCATGCAAGACAGTGACTGATTGCCCACTTCAGTCAGGTGCTCACAGCTAGGGCAAGGCTCAAATGAGTGTACAAGCGGGAGTTGATGACCATTGTCT